GAATATGAGTATAGAAATACCTTTTGAGACCCTGCTTTCACTTCTTTTGCATATATTCCCAGAAAGTGGAATGGCTGGATAGTCTATGATAACATTACGTTTAATTTTTTTGAGGAACTGCCATACCATTTTCTAAAATGCTGCACCATTTTATACTGCCACCAGCAGTGTAAGACTTCCAATTTCTCTACGTCTTCACCAACATTTGTTATCTTCTGTTTTTCAAAAATAATAGCCATCAGCTATTATTTGAGTGTCAGCTATTACTTTTTATTTATTGTCTCTGATTTCGTCTTTATGAACTCCATTTAAACTTTAAATGTTCTTTTCTCTCTATACCTGCTCTTTTGAATTTTCCATCCTTTTGCTTTTCTGTGGTTTATTCTGAATTTTTTTCTGCAGACTTAGTTTTCTGTTTAATTCTCTCTTCATCTATATCCAATGCACTTAAAAAAAAAAACCTATCCATTGAGTACTTAATTTTGTCTCATATTAATTTGGTTCTTTTAAAAATCTATGTAACTTTTCAAAAACTGTCATTTCTCTACCCAGAATTTTAATTATGTGTTTTATTTTCTTAGACATAGTAAGAATTGTTATTTTGAAGTCTTTCTGATTATTCTCCTATCTATAGTTTATGTGGGTCTTTGTTTCTGCTGGTTTTCATTTGTTTTGTCTTGTTTGCCTGGTTATCTTTGGTTGTGTTTTGGCTGTTGTCTTTGAAAAATTGTTTACAGAAATAAATTGAGGACTAGACTAGGATGATGTTCTCTCCATCCAGAAATGATTTGTGTTTTTATCTGCTAAGGGCTTGGGGGCACAGTCTAAGATCACCGTAATCTGATATCAGGGATTAGGGTTTTTCTGGGCCACCCAGATGCTTGGAAACTGGGCTGCAGTCCACATGAAGGCTGTTTTATTTCCAATCCACCCTCCTCCTAAACTCTAACTATTTGGGTTTCAAGCCAAGTTGTAGGGGGTTAACTGGCTCTTGGAGGGCCTTTAACCTTTGTCCTCCTAGAGCAGTGGTCCCCAACCTATGGTGAATTGTATAATTATTTCCTTATATATTACAATGTAATAGTAATAGAAATAAAATGCACAATAAATGCAATGCGCTTGAGTCATCCTGAACCCATCCCCCCATCTGCATAAAAATTGTCTTCCATGAAAATGATCCCTGGTGCCAAAAAGGTTGGGGACCACTATGAGAGAACGCAAGAGGTTATCAAGAGTGATTCTCAATGTCTTGGTTGCCCCTTCATTGTATAAATGGTCCCAGGGCAATAGTGGACCAGTTGCTGCAGGCTCCTCTGTGAACTTTAGTCTTAATGTTTCTCGACCTGCTAGTTCTTCTGTGCCTTCTCAGTTCACTGATGTTTCCAAGCACATGTTCTTTTATGGTATACCCAGCATTTTAATTTGTTCTCAGCAGGAATGTTGGTCCCAATTACCTACTTAGCCCTATTGCCTCCTTTACAAGGCATCTTTTTAAAGTTTTTAGGATAAAGAATCTGTGTTGAATCTTGAGAACTCATCTGTTCTAGCCTCATTCATTACTAGTCAATAAAGTATGGGTTTATTGATCATCTACCATGTACCCAGCATTTTGCTGTCTATTATGGAAATCCTAAGGAAATGCAAGACAGAGTGTTCCTGTATTCAAGGAGTTTAGCTGGGGAAACATAAACACAGATAATTAAATAAAATGGGCTGGGCGCGGTGGCTCACGCCTGTAATCCTAGCACTCTGGGAGGCCGAGGTGGGTGGATCACTCAAGGTCAGGAGTTCGAGACCAGCCTGACCAAGAGCGAGACCCCGTCTCTACTAAAAAAATAGAAAGAAATGATCTGGACAACTAAAAATATATAGAAAAAATTAGCCGGGCACGGTGGCACATGCCTGTAGTCCCAGCTACTTGGGAGGCTGAGGCAGTAGGATCACCTGAGCCCAGGAGTTTGAGGTTGCTGTGAGCTAAGCTGCGCCACGGCACTCACTCTAGCCTGGGCAACAGAGTGAGACTCTGTCTCAAAAAAAGAAAAAAAAAAAATGTTGGAGTAGGTGCTCAAGGGTTATGCAGAGTTAATGGTGTCAAAAGACAGAATACAACAAATTTAAAGATCTTGATTGGCTTTAATTTGTAATTCTAGACTTGGGCAAACATCTCGTTCCATAAAATAGAATTGAGTGTTCCGATGGACCAAGCAGAAAAGATTGGTTTTATAGACAGAAAAGGACTGCACTGTCTGGGAAGCCTTCTCTGTTAGAGCAATCCCTGTTACCTCGGGAATCTTCACATTATCACCTATCACCTCTGGAGGATGCTGATGGCAGTGACAGGGCCATTATTGTTAGGCGATGATAACCAGCGTGTATGTGGTCCAGCCCTTACCACATGCCAAGCATGATTTCAAGCATGATCCTCATAACAACCTAAGAGGTAGCTGTTATTAATATTACTGTCCCCATTTTACAGATGAGCAAATTAAAGCAGAGAGTTTTTACAGCTAATAATTAGAGTGGTCTTTTGGACATGGACTTTTTTTTTTTTCTGGATCCTCTTCTTCAGTAGGAAAATGGAAACCCCAGAGAAGGGCCTGACCTGTGGAGAGAAACTGGTGGCTGAGGAGCCCCTTCCTTGCCCTGGAGGCTGTGGCTGAGGACTAATTAGACAACTGTGTGTGGCTTTCCACCTCTGTTTCCTTCCAGAGTCCAATTGGTTATTCAACTGTGAAGGTGCCTGGATTGGCTTTCTGCCCTGTCCCGCTGGCACCTGTGACCTCTCTGTCCTATTTCTCTGGGGGCTTAGGTGTGTCTGCCAACTCAGTCTTCCTGAGAAGTCTCTGGACTCCCCAGACCATCTGGGTGAGGCCCTGTGATACTTTACTGTCCAGGACTTAGCTAGGCCTGCTCTGGGCAGACCTACCAAGTAAACGACCATCTTGGAAAAGCTGAAGAGGGCTTTCCCCTGAATATACAGCATCTTTTTCACCATAGTCTTCAATGATTTAGGAAGGGCTGTTTCTGTAATAAATAACACCCCCTCCTCCAACCAGCAATGCAGATGCTTACGATTTCGTCAGGCAAAAGCTAATTCCAATTAAGTCATGGGATGCTCTTATTTAAAAAATCCAAAACAGTTTTGGATTTACAGAAAAATTGCAAAGATAGTGCAGAATGTACCCCTATACCCTCATACCCAGTGTCCCTGTTATTACCTCTAACATTAGTATAGCCTATTTGTTACAATTAATAAACCAAACCATTATTTATTATTAACTGAAGTCTATACTTTATTCAGATTTCCTTAGTTTTTACCTAAGGAAAAATGTCATTTTTCTGTTTCAGAATCTCTTCTATGCAAAACCACATTACATTAGTTGTCGTGTCTCCCTTGGCTCCTCTCGGCTGTGACAATTGCTCAGACTTCCTTGTTTTTCATGACCTTGACAGTTTTGAGGGGTACTGGTCAGGTGCTTTGTAGGACGCCCCTCTGTTGGAATTTCTCTGAAGTTTTTCTCATGGTTAGACTGGGCTTCTGGGTTTTGGGGAGGACTATCACAGAGGTGAAGTGCCATTTTCATCATATCTCATCAAATGTACTTGCTGCCAACATGATGATGACTCTCGATGGTGACCTTGATCATCTGGCTGCGGGAATGTTTGTCTCCACTGTGTACTTACTCCTCCCACTTCCATTCTGTATTCTTTGGAAGAAAGTCAAATCGTGGAGCCTAATCCTCTTTAGCTCAAAAGCCAAGTCATTATTTAAAGTGTTTTATACCATTAAATAACTAAAAGAAAAATCTGTCCACAAACTGTTCTCTTTATAAACATTTTAAAAATTGTTGTCTTTAATATTGTCAAGTAGCCAATCTCTTGCAAGGACAGTTTCTGTATTGTGCTGATTATTGGGCAGATTTGGTACCTTCAGTTTTGCAGCAGTTTTTGTTTTTAGCTGCAAAACTCAGGGACAGGGGGTGTACCAGGAATCACGATCATTGCCCCAGTCTTGTTCATTTGTTGTTCTGTTTGCACCGTGTTTAATAAAATTGCAACAACGCAAAACTGCTTCCTGTGGGGGAAGGGTTTAATCATTTAAATGATGGGGCTATAGGGTCATTCCACAAAGGACTCAAATGTTTCAAAGTTGATGTGGGCACAAAGGCAAAGATGAAATCAGAGTTCTTCAGCATTGGAACTACATCTGGTCCACCGGGCCACCTGACCATTAAAAGTTCAGAGACAGAGAACCAGCCTATACTGATTGTGAGTCTTGCACACCCCCTACCGACCAAGTTTAGTAATTCAGCAGAGCTTTTTTTTAAATTCATGAGCAAACTGTTGTTAAAGGAACAGATCGTGGAAAAGAGATTTTTCTTTTTTCCAAAAATTGCACCAAAATAAAGCAAAGCTCTAGTTGATGCGAGTGTGTTGTGTAGGCGTTAGCAGTACTGTCCTCACTACTCGTTCATTGGACAGTAGCGCTACCCCAAGAAAAGGATGGTTGCAAAGTAGTTTTTCTGCGCTGTGAGCAGGAAGCGCCAATACCAGGTTAGGTTCTGGTGACTAAATCGCGAGTCCCGCCCCTAGCTTGCCTGGTAGCTACGTACCTCCACTGACCACTTCGCTCTGTGCAAGCCACCAACTCCTTATTTTCTGAGATTCTGCAGGGTCGCAAAACGACTGCTCGGTTTTACCCAGAAGACCGCGCGCTAGCCGCCCCCAAATTTGCATACGCTCCTCTCGCCGGGGCGGGGCCAACAGGGGCGGGGCTGCAGCGAGCTCGCTAACTCCGCGGCTGGTCCCACGGGGTTTGGCCACGCTGTTTCTCGTAGTCCAGTATTTTCTACCGTAACCGTAAACAGCTCTTTTTGTGCAAGAGCATTCTGCCTCGTGCTCAGCAGTCGGCATGCGCGCCCTGTGCTCTCGGACTGCGTGGGCGGGAGCGCTGCACCCCTGGCCGGCGGCTAACCGGCTCCCGGTGTTTCCCGTTGCAGGTGGTTCTTCTGGGCATGGACATCCTGTCTGCCCTAGTGACTCGGCTGCAGGATCGGTTCAAGGCGCAGATCGGCACAGGTGAGCTGTGGGCAGATGTGGAGCGGGCACCCAGACTCTCCATCCTCCACCCCCGCCCCTCGCCTTCACTCGGTCTCTCCAGTTCCACCGCTTAGCTGAACCCAACTTTTGCAGCGAGCTGTCCATCTTCCCCTGCAGCGCCCCCATCGTTTCCCCCTACTCCTCCTACACAGCGCCCCGCCTTCCATCCTCCCCCAGCAGGGGCTGCACCACTGCCTTCCCTCCCCTGCCAGGCCCTCTCCAGACCCGCTGGCCTCCCCGCACCTACTGGCTTTTTTACCCACCTCCTGTTTTATTTAGCCATCACCCTTTAGTGCTAACCACGTCATTTTTGTCCTCAACTCTTCCTTGTAATGAAAGGCAGTTTTCTTTAAGAAGTCCTGTAAAACAGAACCAGTTGTGTTTTTTCCCAGATGGTTATTGTTGGCATTACTGTATTCACATTGATTGTAAATGTCATTACAAGTGTCTAGTAAATGCTCACTTGCTTATTTTGAAGGGGAAACAGTGTGTCAGCAAAATTAAACAAAACCCACAGATTTCATAGATTTAGACGCCTCTAAATTCCTGACCTCTGGTATTTCATGATGGCAACATAAACACCATATACTGCGCAACCATTTCCTTATAGAATGTGTATATTTGTTCAGGAAAGGTAACTTTTTGGTCACTGTGCTGCTTTAGAAAAGGTCGGGAACTAGTTTTTCCATTCTGGCGCTGAGTAACTTTCCATCTGTTAAATTTAAGAAACCCTTACTTTTAGAAATTGGATATTTTAATAATCTTACATTTTCCTCCTAAACCGAATTATTCAGAGATATCTCTTGTAATAGAGGTTTACAGACTCTTATAAGAAGGAAAGTAAATTAACCTCTGGTCTACAAGTGCCTTTGGATTACAGGCGGGATGGTCCACACTTGGGTGGCTCAGGGGAGGCTGGAGAGCTGGGCTTTGTCTGATGTGTGTGTCCGGGTGTGATGTAAAATTAAAAACTCAAGATGTTGATGCAACATAGATTCATCCAAAAGTGCCTGCCCCTTCTACCTCAAAAGAGATATGCTGGAGCCCCCTCTTCTCTCTTAACCTAAATTTTCCCTTTGCATTGACTCTTTCCTGCCAAGATCTTCCATCATTTAGCTTACAAGTAAGTGTGTTGGGAGCTGGTTTGAGGAAAGTGGGGTGAGGAGGAGGACAAATAGTATGTCTGTCCATGCAAAGGATTTTGTAGATTCTTGTGGTGACTTTCGTGGATTTCAGTAAGGAGAGGAGAGCCGTGAGCAAGGATGGGTGGTTTTGCAATGAGGTGCATCATTTGAGCCAGGGTTTTGTCTTTCCAGTTATTTGAAATAGCAACACTTGGTGACCACAGTCCCCCAAATAGGCTTTCATTTGATCAGTTTCCCTTTTGATTTTCAGTGCTGCCAAGTCTAATAGACAGACTAGGAGATGCTAAAGACTCTGTGAGGGAGCAAGACCAAACTCTGCTGCTAAAGATCATGGATCAAGCTGCTAATCCCCAGGTAGGGTGAGAGAAGAGTTCTGGGGCCAGCCGGGTGTGGGTGTGTGTATACACTTGCATAAACAGTGTGTGACTCCATAGACTTAGTTTCTTTTAATAAGATGAGGTATTACATGTGAAAATTTTAATAATGTTCAGTCTGCCCTCCAGAGACCAGGTAAAAATATAATGTGAACAAATCAGTGGCTTTAACGTGGGTACTGAATAAAGCAATGCGTTTAGTGTGCTTGGTTTTAATTCCTTAGACTCTTTAGCTCATTTATGTCACTGACTCTCCATTACTCTGAGGAAAGGCAGCTGCGGTGTCTGGTAGTCAAGGGCTTGGCTGGAGCCCTGGTTCCTGTCTGCTGGTGAGCGGGGGATGCTGGGCTGGACTGACACAGCCCTGCCTTCCAGGCCCCACTGTCCATTGTTGGGGGAGGGGTGGTCAGAAAAAGGAGAGGACAATGTACATGATCTTTGACAAGTCACCTGCTCTCTTTTGGCCTCACTTTCCTCACCCATAAAATGAGGATGATTATATCTGCCTTTCAGGGTGTTGGGAGAATTATATAAATAAATATATTTTGAAAATTTTAAGTTGATATACTTGATAAAATGACATATGTCATCATTTTCTAATATGCTCTTGAGAGGACCAAATGGGTGGCTAGAAGATGGGATTAATTTGGCGCCTGTTACGAGGCTCTCCTGTTAATCCCTCACTAAGTGAAAGGCTGCAGAAGTCGTCTCCCTCCTCACCTGTTCTTTGTCATCTGCAGTATGTATGGGACAGAATGCTTGGAGGCTTCAAACACAAGAATTTCCGTACTCGAGAAGGCATCTGTCTCTGCCTTATTGCAACACTCAATGCGTAAGTCTGGGATGAACCTGAAATATTTAAAAAAAAAACCTGTACTTTGAAATAATTAGATTTATAGAAAGTTGCAAAGAAATGTACTAGCAGGCCTCATACCCCCTTTACCCATCCTCCCCCAATGTTAACATCGTGCATGACTATAATACAACATCAAACCAGGAAATTGAGATTGATACATCCCCAGAGCTTATTCCCATTTCTCCAGTTAAACATACACACATTTGTGTGTATATACAACTGCACTGTCACCGTAGGGCTCCCTCTTGCTGCCCCTTATCGCTGCCCCAACCCTAGGCAACCACTAATGAGTTCTCTTTTCCTATGATTTTTGTCACTTCAAGAATGTTATGTAAATGGAATCATCAGTATGTGACCTTCTGAGATTCTTTTTTTTCGTCAGCATAATTCCCTTGAGGCTGTGTATATGTTGTTGACTATAACAACAGTTTAAGTAGAATTCCATGGTAAAGATGTATTATGGTTTGTTCATCCATTCACTTGTTGGAGAACATTTGGGTTATTTCCAGTTTTTGGCTATTATGACCATGCGTGTACAAGTTTCTGCATGAACATAAAATTTCATTTCTCTTGGGTCGGTGTCCGGGAGTACAATTACTGGGTCATTTGGTAAGTCTATTTTTAGTCTTAAAAGAAACCGCCAAATTATTTTCTGGAGTTGTCTATACCATTTTATATACCCACCAGCAATGTATGGATGAATGATCCAGTTTATTCATATCCTTGCTAGCCATGGATGTTATCACTGTTTTTTATTTTAGCCATTTTAAAATGTATGTGGTAATATCTCATTGTGGTTTTAATTTGTATTTCTCTAATGGCTGTTGATGTTGAACATCTTTTTCATGTGTTTATTTGCAGCAGAGGCTTTCTTTTTTCTTTTTTCTTTTTGTCAGACCTGGTGAACAGGAAGAGAGCCTTTTTTTTTTTTGTTGTTGGGACAGAATCTCACTCTGTTGCCCAGCTAGAGTGCCGTGGCATCAGCCTAGCTCACAGCAACCTCGAACTCCTGGGCTCAAGCAATCCTTCTGCCTCAGCCTCCTGAGTAGCTGGGACTACAGGCATGTGCCATCGTGCCTGGCTAACTTTTTCTATATATTTTTAGTTGTCCAGCTAATTTCTTTCTATTTTTTTAGTAGAACCGGGATCTCGCTCTTGCTCAGGCTGGTCTCGAACTCCTGAGCTCAAATGATCCACCCGCCTCGGCCTCCCAGATGAGAGGCTTTCTTAAAGTTAAAAATTTCAAATCACTTTTTCTCATGATGAAAATAATATCGTATATATCAGAAAAATTTACGTAAGGATAAAAATAAAGAGCACTATAATTCTCTCACCTTTAGATGGTCACTATTAACATTTGGTGCATTTTATTCCAGCCTGTAAAGTTATATTACTTTTAAAATCAAAATTGAGATTATAATGTTTACATTAGTTCATGCATTTTTTTCCCCTCTTAATGTGTTGACCTTTTGAATGCCATTAAATTTGACTATATGTGGCTGAAGCTTTAAAAAAAAGTTTCTAGCCTTCAATGATAGTACTTCCTGTCCTAGGAGTTTATGTTAAGGAAGTAGATTAAGTAAGAAATTTTTATTCACAAAGGATATGTGCGATAGTAGCAATTGTAACGGTTGTGAAGAACTTAAGTCTTCCTGGTAGAGCAGTGCTTAGCGGTGATGCTGTGTGGCCATTGGTCAGTCTTTTCATCCAGCAGTGTTAACAGAACATCCACTGTAGCAGAAAGCTGTGCCGTGGCACACAGGATTCAGTGAGGACCCTACAGGGACTTGCAGTTGAGTTGAGTACTCTGACAAAACAGTAATGCAGAGACAGCGTTTGTGAGGCAAGCAAGATCTCAGGGAGGCCGGAGCTTTGGTTCAGCCTTAAAGGGGCAAGGCCAGATTGGAGAGAGCCCTGGACACCAGGAGGAAGACTTGTCCCTGAGAAGCCACCGAAGGTTTTGAACTCTTTGCAAAGGGGCCATCGGGACGCATTTGCTTTGGAGCCAGCATGGATGGGATGGAGAGAGTCTTGGTGTGAGGTGGTGATGTGTCCTGGGGAGGAAGAGGAAGGGTGAGTGTGGGCAAAGAGGCATCTTTTTTCCCTTTGTTCTTACTAACAGTAGAGCATCCTTTTGTTTTCAGCTCTGGAGCACATACTTTAACACTAAGCAAGATCGTGCCACATATATGCAACTTACTCGGAGATCCGAATAGCCAGGTGAGTGAGAAAGAAAATGCTGGGGGAGGGGGCAATCAATGCTTATAGACTGTTCAGATGCATTCTGGTATTCTGCGCATACCCAATAGCGGGATGGGACTTTAGTCATCTTTATAGAACTCTGGTAATTATTTAACATGTCGGCTACTCATTAGCATTTATAAAATATCATTGGTAAATGTGGCTACTCTGCCCTCCTCTATATACAGGACTGAGAAATCACTAGCCTATAAATTGAAGCCATTCAAACCAGCCTCCAGTATAAGACCACTCTAGTCACCTTCTCTGTAGCTCAAAGGGGTGGGGATGAGGGGAGAGAATCTGTGCAGATTGGTGGTGGTGTGGTGGTGGGGGGTGATTGGAAGGGGACTTGCGGGACTTTCTGAGGTGTTGGAAATGTTGTACATTTTGCTTTGGGTGTATATCACTGTAGAAATTCCTTAAACGGAACCCTTAAGAACTATGCATGTTATTTTATGCAAATTTTAGGTAAATTTTTTTTTCTTTAAAAGCACCACTTCCTTAGTGTAAGGGTGGGAGATGGGAGAGAAGCTAGTCATCTGATCTGTGAGTAGCACTTCACCATGTTTTCCAAGTCCGGGCTCTAGAAGATGTTTTCCAAGTCCGGGCTCTAGAAGTGCCAGCTCTCTTTCCCAGTTCAATTTGGTCTCTTACCCAGAGTCGTTCTGTCATCTCATACAAACTGATGCGAAAGACACTTTGTTAGATAAAGGGGCAGAAAATGGAAGAGGGATTTACGACAGAAATAAATGTGGCCAACAGGCCTCTAATGGAATCTCTGTTGGGGATTGCTCAGTTACCCTCTGAAGAGAGGTTGTCAGGCTTGCCTTCCAGCGGCCCCTGGGTCCCTCTGGGTGTGCCCCTGCCATGCTCTGACCCTTCTCCTCCCTCACTTGCTCTCAGTTCCCCTTCTCTCTGGCAATTGTGTCCCCCAACCCCAAATGCCATGTCCCCTTTATCTCCCTTGCTCACCCTGCTTTCTTTCCGCTCATGCTTTCCATTCAGCCTTTGTTGAAAATATATGGCATTTGAGATAAAATTTTTGGATATTTTTATTTACTGTCATAGTTTATATCCAACATTAATTTAAAAATAACATCAACTATTTTTTTAAAAAGATTCTAAATTACCGAATAGATTATTTTGCCCCACCCCGTTTGGTCTTCTTCCCCGTTTTGTTTTCTGTGGGAACAATCTGTAACAGAGGCCACACTTTGAGACTATCACTGCTGCCACATGGTGTCCTTTAGTAGGGCAGAGAAGCCTACTTGGTGAGGTGGGTTGTTCCTAGTTCCGATACTGACACTGCCAGACAGGTGATGTGAATCCTCACACTGGGCCTGTGGGGTCCTTAGAACCTGGGGTGGGCGTCGGGGGCTGGCTTCCCAAATGCACTTCAGTCGTGGAGGCAATATAAACAGACCAGACAGACACTGTCGAGGACTACAGCCTGTGACATCGTCTGGTTTGGGGAGGGGGAGACTGCGCTCCACCGCAGCGCCTGCCGTGCAGTGCTGTGTACTACACCGGGGTGCATTTCACACGTTCCCTGATTCTGCCCCCTTCCTCTGTCCTCTTTTTCTTCCACATACATTTACTGAGCACTTATGCTAGGGGCCTGCCTTGTCTGTGTGGATACTGAAATTCTGGGGGGAGACGGTGAGATTAGTAGCTTGATTTTGTTTTTGAGCCTCAGCTTTTGTTTTTGTTACTGAAGTGGACAACATCCTCCAGAGGAAAGTAGAGGAAACATCTTGTTATCCTCCACTGATACGTACTGTGGGAATAACCTCAGCATTTCCCTGCCTGAAAGATGGCAGATTCTATGTAGATTTTCAGAGACATTGAAAGTGGAATGTTAACAAAATGTAAAATTTTGAAATTGTTACATTTTCATCCTTAAAGCTATTCACTTAGGCCTCCAAGAATGTCTCATTCTTCACAGATTTTCCTTTTCTGTGAAGTTTTCTACTACAGGAAGCCTGTAGCACTTAGAAGTTCTCTAAAGTTTCTGTGTAAGATTCTGTATGAAGGGACTAATCTGTTTTTGTGTTGGGCTGCTCCATAATTTTTGACTTTTTTCTATTAGGTCTAGAGAAGGGGTTAACTTGTAAATTCTCTTTAGGAATTTTAACAGGGTTTTCTTTGTTTCAGAAGTAGCACATATTAAATTTCAAGTGCTCAGCACAATTCCATGCATTCTGAAAATGTTGATTCAGTTGTTTAAGAGTTTAAGATAGCGCTGAGTCTTGAACAGTATGAAATATAATTTTAAAGCTGCCAAAAGTCAGAATGTGTTTAAAACTTGACACTACCTAATGCAGTGCAAGAAGCCTAGCTTAGACACAGGCATTGGTCTCTGCTTTGAATTTAACAGCCAGCTGACCTTAGGAGGCACTTGAGTCTAGAGCCTTAGTTTCCCCTTTAAAGTGGGGGCATTAGTAAGCTTCACTCCCCACTCCTGTTGAGTGCTTTGGGGGTATCTATTATAATATAGGTGCCAGTATGACCTGTTGGTCCAAGAAGACGACCTTTAGAAGGGCCACATTACTCAGTAGTCTCCTTATAGGCTGAGATGGTCATTTTCATTTGCAGAAATCACACACCTGCCGTGTGCTAGTGAGTTTCTGAGAAACTCAGATATATAATGTTTTAAATATTAACATATGAAAATACTCAATTGTAGAATAGCGTTAGTGTCTTGAGATGTATTTATGATATTGGCATAGCCATATTTTTCTTATATCAAATGTTGACAGCCCTGGTGTAGACTATACACGTACCTCTACATACCAGAAATTAGTTTCATTACCGAAAATCAGGTGCTTCTGGACTGGTTATCAGTAGTAATAGTACAACTTAAAAACAAAAGTTGTATTATTAAATGTATTAATAAATGCATTAAAATTCCATTTAAATGGAATTACATCTTACTGCTGTGTATCATCGTCATAAAGATTTTATAATTTTTCTTTATAATTTTTTAATGAAGAAACAAGGAGATAAAATATTTTTTTTTATAGGTTAGAAAATGTGACTTGTTTAAAATGTTTCTTTAAACCAAAAATTCAAGTTGCCACTTCCTGCCTAGTATCTTCATTAGGTGGTTGTACTTTGTATGGCAGGAAACCCCCGGTCTTGGCCAGGAGTTTGGAGCCAGTAGTGGTTCGGCTCTCCTCGCTGGCCTGTGTACGTCTGAATTTGAGCAAGTTCTTATTATTTTGTTTTTTCATTTTCCCCCCTCATCTGTGAAATGAGGTTGGTGCTCTTTGGGCAGCTTTCAGTACTTCATAGTAGACAGGATTTCTAGCCATGTATTCTAAACTGAGCACTCGGAAAATAATCCGTATATTCACATCTGCCTTAGGATGTTTTTTCCGCATGTATGTTTGTGTGCACAGGCACATACACACACACTCAATCCACGTCTCCCAGAAATCCCTTCTGCCAGGAAATTTTGCCATCTCTCCCCTGATACTAATCAAATTAATCATTCTTCCTTCTGGGGCATGAAGGTAGGTTGCATGTGCTTTTGCTCTTGCTTTTATTTTAATTTTTCATCAGTCTTTCCTATTTGTCTCAGAATCTTGAGGGTCAAGACTATAACTTGTTCCTGTTTACAGTCCCAGACACCGCATAACCCTCTGAATGATTTTTCCCTTCTTTGTTGTCTAAGTCTCAGACCAGAGAGGACACTGTCGGGTCAGTGCTGTCACTGCACTCGGGTGCCTGATGTAGGGGTCGGCCTCTAGCTCTTCATTTCCCGATGGCGAATGTACACAGTATCCTCTCACAGCTGTTCAAGCAGCTGCCAGCATCCACTGGCACTGGCGTTTAAATGAACTATGCAAATCACTCCTGCCTTGGAGGATGTGCATTCGTTTTCGTAATAATCTGAGTGCAGAGTGGCTCAGAGCAGGAGAAAGCCCCTCAGAAGCTTCTCAGAGTGGCCCATAGATACATGCAGTACGTGGGTTACGATGCTTTTGGCCACGAGTAACTGAAAACCCAACTCAAAATCACTAGAGCAGTGAAGAAACGTATTATCCTGCACAATGAGGGGTCCTGGAGTAGGGAGGTTCCTGGATTTATTAGTAGCTCAGTGGTACCTTCAGAGACTTAGAGTCTCAGCCATGTCAGCTTCTTGGGCTTTGTCCTCAGCAGCTTTCCTCATGGGCACAGCACAGGTATAGCCCCAGCACGTACACAGGGCCAGCCTGGTTTTGAAAAAAAATCAATCCTGTCTCTTAACCCTTATTTCATGCTGCTTTTTTAGTTCATATTTATGTCTGGCCAGAGTGGCATACCTGCTTTTCCTGAAGCATGTACCATGCATGTCTGCTTTTGTGCCTGTGTTATGTTTGGAACCTGTCCATTCCATCTGGACCTGGTGAAACCCTGTCCTCTCAAGTACATTTCAGTGATTCCTGCCTCTTCCACAAAGCGTTTCTTGACATCCCGTGATATGGTTTCTTTCTCCTTTAAACTGTGTGATCTCTTTGTGCTGTTGAATAACATCTATTGCATCCTATGCTATATTGAATATAGAATTTAAGGGCTCTTTTATCTCCTTTTTAGGATTATTAGCTTCTTAAACGTGGGGCGGTAGCCTGTACCACCCATTTTTGTTGTTCATTAAGTATTTGTTTATTACTTAGAGTGTTTTAAATGGTGTCTTATTTTTAATATAATTCACTTATTTGTACTGTTGTTTTCTGTGTTGGAGAGATGGTCTGAAAATTGTAGTTTCCTGATATTTTCTTAAAGAATAAAAAGAACTAAGGGACATGGACTTTAACATGTATATGGGGTGGAGACCTGTTTTTTCTGTCCTTTGGCATTGTATCAGCAGGGTGAAAGTGTCAAACATGGCTTCATTAGGCAATGTATATAAAGGAATGTATTTGTAGTTGCACTGGTAAATTGGTGATAAATTGGGGTGGTGTATGGCGTTTTGTGTCCCAGCAGAAAGTGCTGGGGAATGACATAGAACAGCTATAAGATCTCTTCTTTTACATCTAGGTTCGAGATGCAGCAATAAACAGCTTAGTGGAAATTTACAGACATGTAGGAGAACGTGTGAGGGCAGATCTCAGTAAGAAAGGATTGCCACAATCCCGGTGAGTTCAGACTTTTTTCCTTTCTTCTCTTTCCTCCCTACTCTTGTTCAGTTAACATCTTGATTTGCACCACTTTTTTTGTTGTGGTAATTTTATTCAAAGAATATATGGTTAGAGGGTTGGTGGTTAGAGATCTTGTCCAGCTCATAAGTCAGGGGTCCCCTCCCATTCCACTTCCTTAGAAGTAAGACTTTCTAACCCAGACATTTGGCCAGGTTTCATGCCACATACTGACTTTAGAAGCACATTTAAAAGTGATTAGTGTTGAAAAATTCAGCTCTCTTATAGTTTGTATGGATCTGTGTCCATGATTCTAATATCTATACACAGCACTTAGTATGGTGGGTGCTCAGAACATATTTGTTAGAATGAATGGAGCCATTCCAGAATGAGTCTGGATGGAAATTCATAAGTCACAATTCTGGAAAACATCTTTGAGATGTTAGTTTTCTGTTCAGTCATGTTATTCTCAATGCGTAGAAGCCAATGCAAAGGGATCAGTGTCTCATCAGACCCAAGACAACTTAGATCCACGAATGTGTCTTTGTTAATAGTCAAAATTTTAAAAATTATGTAACAATTGGGTATCTATAATTTTAACTATGATGGAGAAGCTTAACACCAAAAGAATTCTAAACATTACTGCCTCATGTGACAGTGATGTGAATATCTTGGACAGTTAGAACTGGAGTGAACTCACAGAGTAGCTTGTCTGAGTCTGTCATTGTGTCCCCGAAAACAGCAGCGTCCCAGAGATGGGAAGTGACTTTCAAGAGATTACACAGCTAGGAAGAGTCAGAGCTAATATCAGAACCCTGTCCTTCCAACTTGCCTTTTAATTTTGTTTTTTTTACGATGTTTCATAAAAGAGTTCACAGAGTACTGAGCATCTGGCAAGGGGATGGAATATTGAAATAGATAGGAGTCATCTGTCTTGATGTCCATCAGGCAGTTACCATGGAATTGGGCCCTAGACCCATAAGTAGGGGCTCCATGAGTAAGTGAGAGGGTTGTGCTTCCTTGTTGAGAGTTGTGCTGATTCCAGTGTTACTCTCACCACGGCCCCTGTGCTGTGTACAAGATGATTAGATGGGAATAAAATTACTTCTCATGTATTTTACTAAAGATCATCTGTGGGAATAGGTTTTTTTTTTATTCCTCTGTTTTATGAATCTCAGTCTTCTGGTCTTTGAATATATGGTGAGAATACTTAGGGGGAAAAGAGAACTTAAAGACAACAATACTACACAATCTCTTAGGGAAAATTGGAGGGCACAGATGAGCAGGGAAGGCAGGGGCTTGAGGAAGAGGGCTGTTGAATGATGAAGTTGCCACTGTTGTTGGGAAAACAGGTCATGAGAGCAAAACCCTTGCCTGCTCCAGGGATGGCTTCACACCATGCTGTGTAGCTCATAGTGGGCCCAGGTCATGAACCCAACACCTTGCAGGGTTTCCATCTTACGAGTAGGTTTCCTGTGTGTTGTTGGAAGGGAACCACAGCGAACTAGCAGATTGGGTGAAATGACAAGGTAAAAATCGAGATCTAGAGATGTGAATGCAGGCAAGAGTTAACACAGCGGGCCTGAGACTGCTGTCCTTAGAAAGTCTTGCTTATAAGCCTGTCCCTGGGCTGGCACCTGGAGATGTGGATTTTGGGAGGTTTCCCATCATTCCCAAAGAGTGGGATAAGAGTGCTCACTGTGTTCAAACTGTGCCACACAATGTGGTTTATGTTGAACTCTTGCTTTCCTTTTGGGACTCTGGTAAGTGCCAGGCAGAAGGTGTCTGTGTGACCAGCCACCAGCAAAACCCTAGGGCACTGAGTCTCTAAGGAACATTCCTGGTAGAGAGCATCTCACTTGTGTTGTCATAGCTTAGTGCTGGGAGATTAAATATGTCCTGTGTGACTCCACCAGGACAATCTCCAGGAAGCAGGCACCTTTTCCCTTTGCTGATTGTGCTTTGCATCCTTTCGCTATAATGAATCACAGCTGTGAGTGTGATTGTGCCGAGACCTGTGTCTTCCTAATGAACCATTAAACCTGGGGGTGGTCCTGGAGACCCCCAACACAGTGAGTGATTTAGGTGAGGCCCCAGAAGCGTTGATGCCAGAGCTGGAGTTGAAGCCACCTTTTCTATCCTCCCAGTCATGGATTTCACGTGTTCTTTCCATGACCTCCTCCTTTTTTAAGAAATCGAAATTAAAAAAGGAGCTACAGAAGTGCTTGGGCCTATGAATAGGAGTAAGGGTTTCTGCTGTCTCATGTTACCTAAAATCCTACAAATTTTAGACTGAAATGGAGAGGAGGGTGATCTTAGGGAAATGAACCCACATCCTTCTTGTCCATATTGTGAAACTCTGGCAGGCACAAGTGCTTGGAGACCTAGGCTGTTCTTTAAAAACCTGTTTCTAGCGAAAGAAGCAGAAACTTCATGTTTTTTTGTATTTATTACAAGACAGTTACCTGAGTTCTAGCACCCTGAGGGGCAGGAGCTCTTGTTACCACCTTTATTTTGGTATGCTCAGGTAGAATGGGGCTTTTAAGGTATCAGAGAAATTTATGACCTGCTATATGTGGCTCCACATGGATGACTGGATTACCTGAATATTCTGGACTTCTCTGTGTCATTGTAGGTATTTTAGTTATTTTATGCGCATTGTAGATTTTTCAACTTAGCAAGATTCCATAGGATTAAGAAAATATTGTAGGATTTGCTTAATGCTTTCCAAAAATTGGATTTAGTCCTGAAATAAAAAGATCCTGTTAAGAGTTTGTTCACCAAGAGAGTGCTTTGTTTGAGAAGAATAAGATTAATTATATCTCTAAGAAATACATGGTGAAAAAGAATGTCTTAATAATGTTGGCTGAATGACCTAAGTAATGAGAACAGTAAACTCATTTGAGCAGCAGTTTTCTTTGTCCTTTCACAGTTGGAAAAGAGACATGTTGCACATTTGCCAGCTTCACTTTGCAGGAGCTGGACCGAGGGTGTTGGGCCATGCGTTTAGTTGTTACTTAGTGCTTGTCACTGGTGGCTAACATCTTACTGAGTCAGATAATAAAATGGAGACAGTCAACAAAATCTTCATGTCAGAGGGTCTCCCCCAACGTGGATCTCAGAACAGTTGAGGCCCCGGAGGCATAGAGTATTTGACCATTTTACATTGTTTTACATGTGCTATTTTCACAGTTCACATACGTATGTTAGGAAGTACATAATTAACTTTTAGCTGTCCGTCATATCACATAGTCTTGTGAAAATGTAAATCACCTGTAACTCTTTATTACTTACTTTCATAGTCATGTGCTTTCAGTATACTTTGACATTCACTCTCAACCCATTGAATCTTTAGAAAATATTTTTAGGCAATATGGCATATTTTAGTCTACAAATCTTTGGAAAAAAGACAGGGTTACTGATGTTAACTTTCTTCTGAGACCATCATTTGGGAACCAACCTCTTAAAAAGTAGCAGCTTTAAACCTGAGGATAATTTAACTTATAGACAGGGCTAATATATGTCATCTGATTCATTATAACTATTTGGTAACTTGGATTTGTTAACAGGTTTCATAATTATCGGGGGGTTCTCAGTGCCCGTGTCATAATGGGTCCTGTCCCACTCCTGAGGTTCTCATGTGTCGACCCTAACCCTCAACGCATAATATTTACTTGCTTGCTATATAAAAAATTTATAAACATTTACTAGGTATTATTTATGATTGTTTTGGAAAGGGAAAATTGGTACTTTTTAATTTTCATTTTTTATTTTATTATTTTATTTTTATTACTCAGCTCTCCAAGGCTGCTTCCCCACTGCCTGCTGTGGAGTCTGCAGCATTACTGAGGTGTCATCATACACACATTTTTATTTTTAACCTGCTTGCTAAAGCTTTAGTGTTAAAAAGGACCCTAGGGCAAATTGCATTGGGACACCCCTTTCTTTTTTTTTTTTTTCTTTCTTTCTTTTTTTTTCTTTCTTTCTTTTTTCTTTTTTCTTTCTTTCTTTTTTTCTTTTTTCTTTCTTTCTTTTTTCTTTCTTTTTTTCTTTCTCTTTTTTTTTCCTTCTTTCTTTCTTTCTTTTTTTTTCTTTCTTTCTTTTTTTTTTTGAGATAGAGTCTCACTGTATTATCCAGGCTAGAGTACAGTGGTGTCATCATGGCTTGCTCCAACCTCATACTCCTGGGCTCAAGTGTTTCTCCTGCCTCAGCCTCCCCAGTAGTGGGAACTACAGGTGTGCACCATCGTACCTGGCTAAGCTTTTTTATTTTTTATGGAGATGGGGTCTCCCTATCATTGCTCAGGCTGGTCTCGAATTCCTGACCTCAAGCAATCCTTCTGCCTCAGCCTCCCAAAGTGCTAGGATTGCAGGTATGAGCCATTGCGCCTGGCCTCCTCTCACTTTTATTTTTATTTTGTGTCATAATCATTTATACACACAGAGATTCAACCTGATTTATAAGATATATTTTTAAAGAAAGGCAGCGCCTCACTCCTGCCATTTTCTGCTCCTGAGAGGCAAACACTGCCAGCAGTTTTTATTGATTCTTTTGTTATTTACCATTTTCCTAACAATTACTTGTATTGTTATTTAAAATCTTTTTTTGTCATTCTAAGAATTTTATTTTCCACCATGGAGGGTAAATTGCAGCTCTTTTCTACTCCTAACCTTTCTCATGTACACTTGCATCTCCTCATCTACCAAATACGGTCATATTTTAATTTTGGTAAGACAACATCTAGTTTGCATTGTGATTATGTATGCTATTCACAATTCACTATTAATATTTGGTAAACTCTGATAACTTTACTTTTTTTCTTGCAATCTTTTGTTTTTCCTGGAGTTAATGAATGTTTTGCTTTCGTATACATAGTTATCTATATACTTACTACATACTAATAATTTCTACTTACTAGCCTGTGCCAATTTGTGTAAGTCCCTTAAGCCTGTTTGAATTTGGACTAGCTGCCTTCACTGCCTCTTACACCCCCATCATC